CAGGCAGAGGTACAGGGGTTGGGGGGGGGATGAAAGGCACTATGGATCCAAACTCAGAATTTAGGGGAGGGAGATAGAAGGTAAATAAGTCTGTTAGATTGAGGGGTAGATGCAGAAAGGGAGGGAGAGAGGGAGGAAAAAAGACTTGCCTAGGGGAAAGAGGCGAGGGGAAGGGTAGGGTGGGTTCCTGTGTGGTCTAGTCAGCTTAGCATAGTGGTAGTGATCGAGGTAAGTAATGATAGAGTAGAGTGCGGTCCAGATTTACGTGATCGTGATAGGTTAACCATGAGCCCCAGACCTTCAGAAATTTGATGTGGGTATCAGTGAGTATAGTGGTGAATTTTTCATGAGTCATAGTACCCATGAACCTCTGCTTGACCTCAGCAAAGTTAAAGTGGTTGTAAAGGCTCAAGGTTTTTTACCTTCTGTGTGCAGCTTCCCCCCCCAGCCCCCCTAATACTTATATGAGCCCTAATGCGATCCAGCAATGTGCACGAGAGCCTCAGCTCTCCAGGGACTCTCCCTCCTCATTGGCTGAGACAGCAGAGGGAGCCATTGTCTCCCACTGCTGTCAATCATAGCCAAAGAGCCTTGAGGAGAGAGAGGGAGCAGGGTTGAGCTGTGATTCTGTGTGTGAATGGACACACAGAGCAGCGGCTTAGGATCGAGCCTGCTTGGATGCCCTCATAGCACACTGCTTGCTCTGAGGGCACTCAGCAGGAGGGAGGGGCCAGGAGTTCCGATGGGGATCAGGGCTACTCTTTTCAAAACCACTACACAGAGCGGGTACGTATGACAATATTATTTTCACCACACTTGGCCAATGTCTGTTGGGTTGCCAGGAAAACAAATCCCACCAACTTTCTCTAGGCTTTAGAAAAGGACAGGATCGGTTTATGTAGTAAGGCTTCCCAAGGATTATATGCAAGGGAGATGTTTAGGAGAAATCTGATTACTGTATAGAGTGGGGTCCAAAATCTCATTGCCTTTGGGCAGGACCACCAGATGTGAAAGAGAATGTCATGCTCTCTACAACTCCAAAAGCGCAAAGGGGATGCAGAGGGGAAAAAATTTGGCCACGCAAACCGGGGTCATGTACTGTACCAATGTTAAAGCAATTTGTTGGCATTCTTTTGAGCCAGCATCTAACAAGCATTTACAGGTGTCTAGCCAAAATTGGATCCAGGTAGCTTGGTCCAGGTAGCTTTAGTCAGTTTCCCATTTCGTGACACGGGAGTGTGCAAGGGCCACCAAATCAGTAAGTGAGGTGTACAGGTCCGACACTAGACCTTCAGGTAGGGGTCTTTCCTCATTATATATTTAAAGGTTTCCATCATGTCTCCCCTTTCCCTTCTTCCCTATAGACTGTACATATTAAAGCGGAGCTCCAGGCTCCCCCCAAAAAAAATTAAAAGTCAGAAGCTACAAATACTGTGGCTACTGACTTTTAATATAAGGACACTTACCTGTCAAGAGATCCAGCGATGTCCTCACCTAAGCCGATTCTTCAGTCAGCTTTGGGTGCAGGGGCTGACATCTTAAGTAAGAGAAACCAGCAGCGAAGCCTTGCAGCTTCACAGCTGGTTTCCTACTGCGCATGCTTTATGTGAGCTTTATGTGAGCTGGTTTCCTACTGCGCATATGAGCTTTATGAATGGGTTGCAGTTTTCTGGGACCTATGAAATGTCCCAAAAGGCTGCGAAGGAGGGGGGGGGAGGGTGACTTCGGGCTCAGATTGCCGTGGTGCAAAACCAGGTACAGTGGGGGGGATGCAGACAAGTGGAACTTCCCCTTTTAGGGGAAGTTCTGCTTTAGGTGCTTTAAGATCTGTTTTATCCCTCGGTCCTTTCACCATTTTTATTACCCATCTCTGGACTTGTTCCTTTCACTTCTTGAAACACAACAGAAAATCTCTCAAAACTTTGCCATTGAAAGATTTTATATCATGTTCTGTTCTGTAGAACTGAGTGGCCAGACCCTGCTCCGTGCATAAGTTTGGGGTGACACATAGGCAGGAGAGACATCCCATTACCACAGCGCCCCAGGCAGGAGCCTCCCATGCCTCTGCCTTGGTCCTGCTCTAGCCCTATGCAATAAAACAGTCGGGTGAGTCAATCACCAGAACATGTAAATCTCTTTCCTAAACTTTTGGCAGGTAAGAATTCCTAAATACATGTTTCAACTGCGCTAATCTCAGCACCTATGTGAGAATCTGTAGTGGAATTACATGTTCTGACTCATCCAGTTATTGAACTGAAGACAACTCCTCATAATTCCAGACAATAACTCTCACATAACTTTTCTACTCACAAACCTGCTCCTTCAGAATATGTCCTCATCATCATCTCCTACAGCTTTTCCATAACCCCGTAAGACAGGGGAGGTTCACCTCAGCTCATGGTATGTCACAAGCACCTCAGCCCAATCTCCACCCTGACCAGGCTCATTTTCTACAACTATAAAAACTCATTGGCTCGTTAAATATTTCAGAAGTGAATAATATAGTGATATTTGACATGACAGCCCCACGTGAGATGCTTCTACTGGGTACCAGAAGGCTGGACTTAAAGGTACACACTCCCGGCAAAATTAAAAAAAAAACTCAAAGCTTAATGAAAACATCTCAGGCATTTTTAGTAGTGATTTTTTATTTGTATAAGCACCCATTGTGAAGAGAAATTGCATTACTAATAAGCAAAACAACAACCCTTTTTCTGCAGATGCTGAAACCTGGTGACCACTTTCATGTCCTTTGTGTGCTGCAAGACAAGTCTCTGCAATGCCCTTTTTAAGAGCAGGGCTTCTCTCCTTGTCCTCAGCTGACCATATGTAAATGATTCACCAGTATTAACCAAGGTAGAATGCTCTAAGGCAACCTAGGGTCGTATGATGTAAAATTCTTGTGTATTCCCTGGGATCCACAGGTGTCACATAAATGTTGCCCATAGAAAGTAATGGCATACATACATAAATACAGCCATGGCCAAAAATATTGGCACCCCTGTTGCAATTACAAATGTTTAGGCATTCTCATGTTTGTTTCTCCTATTTGTATTGGTGCGACACAAAAATGTGGAGAAACAAAAAGCCAAATCTGACATATTCCACGCAAAACCCCAAAAATGGACTAGGCAAAATTATTTGCACCCTCAATTTAATATTTGGTAGCACACCCCTTGGAAAAAATATCTGAAATCAATCACTTCCTGTAAGCATCAATGAGTTTCTTCCACCTCTCTACTGGAATTTTGGATTACTCTTCTTTCGCCAACTGCTCCAGGTCTCTCAGATTGGAAGGGTTCCTTTTCCCAACTGCTGTTCTGATATCTCTCCACGGGTGCTCTATGGGATTGAGATCTGGGTTCATTGCTTGCCAGGTCAGTACTCTCCAGAACTTTGTCTGAAACCATTCCTGGGTGCTTTTTGACGTGTGCTTTGGGTCATTGTCCTGCATGACCTCTGACGGACACAACCTTCTGACACTGTGCCCTACATTGCACCCCAGAATTCTTTGGTAGTCTTCAGATTTCATAATGCCATGCACATGTTCTAGACTTCCAGTGCCTAAAGCAGCCCAAAAACATCAGTGAACCATGTTTGCCTGTATGGACTGTATGCTTTTCATTAAAGGCCTCATTGCTTTTTTCTAAAAAGAGTAGAATGATGGACTTTACCAAAAAGCTGTAATTTTGTTTCGTCTGTCCACAGAACGTTCTCCCAAAACAATTTTGGCTTTCTCAGGTTGGTTTTGGCAAACTCCAATCTGGCTTTTTATGTTTTTGTGTCAGCAGTGGGGTCCAGTCCATTTTGCGAGTTTTTGTGTGAAATTTGTCCAATTTGGCTTTTTGTTTCTCCACTTTTTTGTATCATACCAATATAAACAAAAGGAATAAACATGAGAATGCCTAAACATTTGTAATTGCAGCAATTTTCTGGGCAAATTGGTGCATTATCAGAAATGTAGGGATGCCAGTATTTTTGGCCATGACTGTATGTACAGATTTCCCGTTAGGTTTATTCTGTGCCTGGTGTTAATCTTTAAATATGCACTGGGAGTAATGTCTACCTGCCTGGTTCTTCAGTTTTTAGGAGTTACTGAGAGTTTTGATAATAGGTTTCTCATGCAACGCTATTTGCTGGTGAAATCTAGATATACAGAATGCAATAGTGGCAGCTGAGTAGTAGTAGAGTTCAAAGAGATAAAGACATACAGTAGATATAATCACCCAACCTATTGCCCATGTTTTGCTGCATGGGATGTGGAGTTGCTTTGGCTCTGAGGTACAAAAAAAATCAGCATTTGTTTTCAAAGTTTCAAGGATTCCGAGGTGCTCTGGAGACCTTGGAAGATCAGTTGTCTCTCAGAGCTTCACACTTGCAGAAGTCTTGCTTCCGGTTCTCGGTAGCTTGTTAAAGCTACCACCAGCACTGCCACAAAGGTCTGCTTATAGCATTCCTAGGCTGGAGCCTAAGAGCATTTAGAGGGGTTAGAAAAAGCTGCTTGAACTTTTTTTAATGCTTTGCACCAAAAGTATTTTTTTTTTGAGTTACCATCAAGAGTGGTATTCTTTGATTCTTTGATTGATCCCAGTGCCAGATCTAGATCGGTTGAGCTATTCACTACACACCTTTGGCTGTGTCCATCTACCTGCAAGCTTTGACAGTTGTTTATGCCAATGACTATGGCTAGCAAGGCAAAATTTTTTCTAGTTAAACACAAGGATGAGATCTGATGCTCTAGAAACCAGAGAGGAAGAAGTTAAGTGTCTGTCACTTGTAATTCCTTAGCAGGCCTTCAGACAAGGTGATTTCACCAGCAATGTCTCCTCTCATTACATAATCTGAGATTAACTAAAATATTCATGTAATAAATGACCTTCACTAAGTCTATAACTAGTTCACTCCTGTCTTTCATAATTATTGGCTATGGCCAGTGCTGAATGTGTATGTAAATACCAGGGGCGGACTGACAACTCATGGGGCCCCCGGGCAATAGGGGATCATGGGGCCCCTGTGTCCTTGCTCAAACTCAAAAAAGCCTATGAAAAAGGTACCAGGGGCACCTCATGGGGCCCCCTACTGACCCCGGGCCCTCGGACAGTGCCCGAGTTTCCAAATGGTCAGTCCGCCCCTGGTAAAGGCATTCACAGCCCCTTTTTGTCCTGGCGATCATTGCCACCAAAACAGAAAATGGGGTGAAATCCCAAATTTTTGAGTTGTCCCCAGAACAGAAGTGAAGGTAAACACCCAATAAGGACAAGTGTTTTAATGTCTTAAGACTAGTATACACGATCAGAAAGTCGTACTGAAAATACCACTTTCAAAGTGATAATCTGATTGTTATAGTACCCAGCTTTCATCCAAAATGATGCGAATGGACAAGCCAAAAATTAGATTGTGCAATTTTCGTTTAATCAGTAGTTTTCGTATACATTACATCACTTTCAAATTTTTGTTCTGTTTTACAAGAATTTTTGTAACTTTAGTAAACTCTTCACTTTCGATATGAGTCTAGCATGCAGAAAAAATGGACAATCATTCATCCAATATTCTCATTATATGTACATGGGCTTAAGATGGGAATTCCCCTCACTGTAGAGAGATTTTCTCCAATGACCTGTTGTATCTCTATCTGGGACATCTTCTGTCCCTCTTTCATCCTCAGCTGTCCCTCTCTTTAGTCTGATATTTAGCCCTCCATACAAAGCATACTATTTATACTAAGAAGTGTTATAATACATGTAAAGCTGAACTTCAGGGAAAAGAAAATGCTCCCTCGCAGTTGGATTGCCTCTGTACTGGAAGAGTGGAATGCTTATTCAGGTATAGAGGAATACAAAAAGCACTTTTACGTACCTGATCCTCTGCTCCCCCTGGCAGCAAGAGTTCTCTGCTACTCCTCTAGGCTCTGGCAGTGGACTGTCCCTCAGTGGACTGTCCCTTGGCATCCTCATATCCAATGCACAGCTCTATGGTGTAGAGATTGCACTTTGACTTGCAATCTCTGCAACATATGGAAGAACAGGCTGTGGGGACCAGTATTTCAGCCTAGAGGGAGCCTATGAGAGCGGAGGATTGGGTAAGTAAAACTGATTTGTCTGGTTCCCTAGAGCAGTGGTCTCCAAACTGTGGCCTGGGAGCTAGATGCAGCAATTTGTTTGCCTTTATCCGGCCCTTGGGGCACTATCCCTGCCTCTGCAACCAACAATGGGGCACTATTAAACCCCACTGACACCGATGACTGAGCCCAATTCCTCCCACTGACACTGATGGGGCACAATTCCTCCCACTGACACCAACAATGGGGTACTATTCCTCCTAATGATACCAACAATGGAGACTATTTTTCCTACTGACACCAACAATGAGGCATTATTCTTCCCAATGACACCAACCATGGGGCACTATTTTTCCCACTAAGCCAACAATGGGGCACAATTCCTCCACTAATACCAAATATGGGACATTTTTTACTCCCACTTGCCACAGCCCAGTCCCCCTAAGGTCTGAAGGACAATAAACTGGCCCTTTGTTGGGAAATCCTAGAGACACCTGCCTTAGATCTAAACAAGCATCTAGCCCTGGCTGTGTGAAGGCAGCCCTTCTACAAGGGATCATCTTTAACTCTATGTTGTGAAAAAACTTCACAGCAGGTAAAGTACACCTGATAAAACCCAACTGTGGGCCCCATTATCCAAGTCTATAGTCTATCTTATTTTGTCTCACTGTGAGGATTTTGAAAAGAACCAGAAATGTTTGTTGCTGCACATTTTAAAAGGAAAAAAAAAAAACAGATGTTGAATTGATTAAAAATTGAAGTCAGATGATTGCAATTTTTTCCCTCTGCTCATAATGTGGAAATAATTGTAATAGCAGCCACAAAAATTACCCAAAAAAAATAGTCTAGTAACCAGAGCAAAGAGCTAAAAGCAATTTTTATGTCCCCAAACTGCCTCTCCCACATGCGGTAAGACCTGCCCCTGCAGCCTCTTCCCCCCTAGGCTCCAGCAGTCAGAGGTAGTTTCACATCATCGATTCCACTGCAGGGCCCGTGGGCTTGCATTGGACATAAGGATGTGGAGGGACAGTCCACTGCTGGAGCATAGGGAAGTAGAGGAGAGCACCAGCTACCAGGGGGAGTTGAGGACAGTCCACTGCTGGAGCATAGGGAAGTAGAGGAGAGCACCAGCTACCAGGGGGAGTTGAGGACAGTCCACTGCTGGAGCATAGGGAAGTAAAGGAGAGCACCAGCTACCAGGGGGAGTTGAGGACAGTCCACTGCTGGAGCATAGGGAAGTAGAGGGAGCAGCTACCAGGGGGAATTGAGGACAGTCCACTGCTGGAGCATAGGGAAGTAGAGGAGAGCACCAGCTACCAGGGGGAGTTGAGGACAGTCCACTGCTGGAGCATAGGGAAGTAAAGGAGAGCACCAGCTACCAGGGGGAGTTGAGGACAGTCCATGCTGGAGCATAGGGAAGTAGAGGAGAGCACCAGCTACCAGGGGGAATTGAGGACAGTCCACTGCTGGAGCATAGGTAAGTAGAGGAGAGCACCAGCTACCAGGGGGAGTTGAGGACAGTCCACTGCTGGAGCATAGGGAAGTAGAGGAGAGCACCAGCTACCAGGGGGAATTGAGGACAGTCCACTGCTGGAGCATAGGTAAGTAGAGGAGAGCACCAGCTACCAGGGGGAGTTGAGGACAGTCCACTGCTGGAGCATAGGGAAGTAGAGGAGAGCACCAGCTACCAGGGGGAGTTGAGGACAGTCCACTGCTGGAGCATAGGGAAGTAGAGGAGAGCACCAGCTACCAGGGGGAGTTGAGGACAGTCCACTGCTGGAGCATAGGGAAGTAGAGGAGAGCACCAGCTGGGGGAGTTGAGGACAGTCCACTGCTGGAGCATAGGGAAGTAGAGGAGAGCACCAGCTACCAGGGGGAGTTGAAGACAGTCCACTGCTGGAGCATAAGGAAGTAGAGGAGAGCACCAGCTACCAGGGGGAGTTGAGGACAGTCCACTGCTGGAGCATAGGGAAGTAGAGGAGAGCACCAGCTACCAGGGGGAGTTGAGGACAGTCCACTGCTGGAGCATAGGGAAGCAGAGGAGAGCACCAACTACCAGGGGGAGTTGAGGACAGTCCACTGCTGGAGCATAGGGAGGTAGAGGAGAGCACCAGCTACCAGGGGGAGTTGAGGACAGTCCACTGCTGGAGCATAGGGAAGTAGAGGAGAGCACCAGCTACCAGGGGGAGTTGAGGACAGTCCACTGCTGGAGCATAGGGAGGTAGAGGAGAGCACCAGCTACCAGGGGGAGTTGAGGACAGTCCACTGCTGGAGCATAGGGAAGCAGAGGAGAGCACCAACTACCAGGGGGAGTTGAGGACTGGGAAAGTAAAACTTATTTTTGCAGCCCCTTGACCTAAACAACATTCAACCCTTGCAGTGCATTGGTAGCCCCACGGGAAGGTAGCATTTTTTTCTTTCCCTGGAGATAGGCTTTTCCATTTCATCTAAACGTTAAATGATTATGTTTGTTGTTTTGAAAAGCCAGCATAAAGGAAAATGTCTAGTGAAAAAAAAATATGTGAGTTAAACCAATCATTTTTTGTATATCAGTCCTTTCTGTTCTACGTAACTGGGGGTGCAACCCTTGGCTACATACTTTGTGCTGAAAAGTGACCCTTTTTTTTTTTTTCTAAAAGTTGGGAGCTATGACCACAAATACACAGATAATTTCCCAAGCATGGGAGGGGAGATATTTAATCGTCTTTATACAACTTGTATGAAAGTTGTGCTTGTATGGCAGTGACAGTAGTGCACATGCTGTACTTTAAAAAGGGGGTTTCAAGCAAGTTGAAGAATCTCCCTATGTGATAACTAGCCTCTCCAACTGACTGAGATGCTCATTATGCCCTCTTTGACAGGGGTGTCAAACTCAATATAACTGAGGGCTGCATCAGCATTGTGGTTCCCCCGAAAGAGCAGGTTGTATCTTTAAGACTGGATGTCCAGAGCACCCACCCTGTCTTACATCAGATGTCAAGACCTCCTCCCCCATCATCATAAGTCAAGAGTCCTCCACCCTCCTTTACATCACATGCACCCCCCTTTTGTTGTGCAGCTGAAAGGAAGAAGCTGGGAGCAGAAATGGGAAGCAGAAAGTGCATGGTCTGGAGGAGGACCAGAGGAGGCCTGGAGTCAATTGTCAGAGTCTGCTGAATGCTGAGACCAGGGGAGGCAGAGATGCTGAAGCTTCACAGAGAGGTACAGGATCTGTATGAGGAAACCAGGTGAGAGTGAAGACGAGGGGGGTGCTGCAGCTGCAGGAGAGGTGTGAGGGTCACATGAAATGGCCTGGTGAGCCGGATTCAGCCTCGTGTTTGATACATGTGCTCTAGGAGATCCGCACCAGCCTGCAACACTTGAAATCAAGAATTTGTAGCTATTTATGACCAATATTAAGCTCTTTTTATCCAACTTAACAAGACTCTTCGTGATTGACAACCGTCAGCCTAGTATTGAATGTCTATCACAAAAACGCACATTATATGAATCAGTAGGTCATGTCATTGATATCAAATCTCATTTTTTTTCTTTAGGTACCACTTTTCTATCAGCTACTGGACTCGGTGAAATGACCTAAGAACTAGGCTAAGACTGGCTACCTACTAGGTGCAGTTTGGTGGATTTTTTTACCATCTATAGAGCCTACAAAATCTATTGTGTTCAGAGAATCCCTGCCTGGTAGACCCACAGTCATGTAACAAAGTCATGGACTCCACTAGGCCTCTGAAGGTATACTGTGGTATCTGGCACCAAGCCGTTTGTAGCAAATCCTGTAAGTTGCGAGCTGAGGCTTCAATGGATTGGACTTGTTTTTCCAGCACATCCCATAGATGCTCAAATGGATTGAGATCTACAGAATTCGGAGTCAACAGCTCAAACTTGTGTTCTTCAAACCATTCTTGAACCGGTTTTGCAGTATGGCAGGGCACATTATCCTGCTGAAAGAGGCCACTGCTGTTTACATGAAGGGGTGTACTTTGTCAGCAACAATGTTTGGGTAAGTGGTACGTGTTACTCAAAAGCGGAAGCTC